ACGTGTTATGTTCGAGATGATTCAACTAAAGAGGTTCTTTTACGTGGAAGAATGGATGATGGCTTATATACGTTTGCTCTTGATGATTAAAGTAAAGATGTTCCTGGTGCTTCAGCTAATTTGGTTACGGCTTATTTGTCGTTGTCCGAGCTATGGCATCGTCATTTAGGAAATCCTACTAGTTTTGCTTTCAATAAATTTGCTAAGGAACTTGTTGTAAAGCTTGATTCAGAAATTAATAAAACTTGTGTGGCATGCTTTATGGGTAAGAGCCACAAATTACCATTTACTCGATCTAATACTCAGTATTCTGGTCCCTTTGAACTCGTTTTTTTTGTTTTGTAGGGACCTCCACATGTTATGTCCAATGGTTTTCACTATTATGAATCATTTGTTGATGTTTTTACTCGGCATACATGGCTCTATTTACTTAAAGATAAGTCCAAAGATCTGTTGGCTTTCCAATTGTTTCACAGCTTGTAATAAATCAGTTTGGGTCACGATTAAGGTTGTTCAGTCAGATTGGGGTATGAGTATCGTTCCTTCTCATCTGTGCTTGCCAAGTCCAGGATAATTCATCGGGTTACCTACCCGCACACATCGTAGAAGAATGGTGTTGCAAAACGCAAGCATCGTCATATTGTTGAGCTTGACCTTGTGTTACTAGCTCAAGCATCTTTGCCTATGAAATATTGGTCCTATGCTATGGTGACTGCAGCTCATCTAATTAATCATCTTCCTACAAAGGTCCTCGATGGGATAACTCTGTTTGAGAAGTTCTTTAAAAAAAAGACTTGATTATTCTTCTCTGAAGGTTTTTGGGTGTCAATGCTTTCCACATTTGATACCGTTTCAGAATCATAAGTTATCCTTTTGGTCTCAGCCGTGTACAAATTTGGGTTTTATCCCTCAACATAAGGGTTTTAGTGTCTTGCAGATGATGGTCATGTTTATATATCCCGTCATGTGGTGTTTAATGAGGAGGTTTTTACGTTTGTAGGAAAAGATTCAGACATCTCAATCACCCCAAGCAATATGTTTCAGTCACTCGTTATTGTGATCCTTGGAAATGGCAACATGGGACTGTTTCAACTACTAGAGAGGGGATTGTGCATGAATGAGTTATTGATGAAGTTACGTGTCAACCCTACTATATTGCTCATTCTCCTACTGACACTGTTTTACCTGATGAGCCTCCAGACGCTGCTGAAGCTCCAGATGAACATGATATCGAATCGGTTTCTATGCCTGCTGACTTGCGTGTGAATACAAGGTAGCCTGATCATGCAAGTATGTCATCGGTGCAACCGACACAGAATCAACATTTTTTGTTGACGTATAGAAAATGTGGATTATTTAAGCCCAAGACATATTCAAGTTACTTTGAAGCTGAAATCCCTTCCATTGTGCAAGAAACCATGCAATCGGCTCATTGGAAAGAAGATGTGCAATCAGAGTTTGATGTTCTCCTTAAGAATAACACATGTTCATTGGTTAAACTTCCTATCGGTCTCATTCGTGTCAGTTGCAAGTGGTTGTTTAAACTTAAACGTAATCCTGATGGTTCTGTCAACCGGTACAAAGTACACCTTGTCGCAAAAGGTTACTCACAGGTTCCAGGTTATGATTTCACAAATACGTTCAGCCCCGTTATGAAGTTCTCAACTTTTAATGTTGTGTTAGCCTTAGTTGTGTCAAACGGTTGGGAGTTAAGGCGTGTAGATGTTAATAATGTGTTTCTAATGGAGATTTGGATGAGGTTGTGTTCATGCAGCAACCACCAGACTTCAATTAGGTTGTTGACGATGGAACGCCTCTTGTGTGCAAACTTCAGCGGGCTCTTTACGGTCTTCGCCAGGCTCTACGTAACTAGCATGCAAAGCTTCGAGCTAACCTAGTTCAGTTAGGTTTTACTACTTCGCGAGCTGACCCGTCGTTGTTTATTTCTAGACGAGATGATGGTGACATTTATGTGCTCGTGTATATTGACGACATAGTCATTACTGGACAATCGTCTAGTTCCGTTCAAGATGTAGTGAAACTTCTTATTGCCCGGTTCTCTGTTAAAGATCTTGGTTTCCTAGTTTTTCTTGGGAATTGAGGTACTTCGCTCTCATGGTTCGATTGTGCTAATTCAGAAGAAGTTTGTATTGGAGCTTCTTACAAAAATAGGAATGAAGGGCACGGCTGCTTGTTCCACGCCAATGATTTTAGCTTCCAAGCTCTCGGTAGATGAGGGGAAGTTTCTAACTGATGCTACTGAATACCGCAGCATCGTTGGTTCTTTACTTTATGTGTGTCACACACATCCTGATCTAATCTATAGTGTTGGGAGGGTTGCACAGTTTATGTATGCACCACGTGAAGCGCATATGGTTGTTGTTAAGCGAATACATAGGTACTTGGCTGGTATTGTTGACTATGGTTTTCTGTTCGCATTAGGTGATGTTGGGTTGACGGTTTCTGCATTTGTTGATACTGATTGGGGTGCTAATATAGACGATCGTTGATCAGTTTCTGGATATGGTGTCTTCGTTGGTTCATGTCTTGTTGCATGAAGCTCCAAGAAGCAAAAACTGTGTCGCATTCAACTATGGAAGCATAATACAAATGTATTGTTGACACTGCAGCGAAAGTTGCCTGGGTAAGGGCCTTACTTACTGATCTTGGAGTAACCCCACGACAGGAACCGGTTATATGGTGCGATAATATGGGCGTTGTGGCGTTGAGTGTCAATCCGGTTTATCATACTCAGTCAAAGCATATCGACTTAGACGTTCACTTTGTTTGGGAGAAGGTTGCGTCTGTACAGTTGGGGGTTAACTATGTTCCTACACCACATCAGCTTGCAGATTGTTTCACTAAGCCTCTAACGAAGGCTGCATTTGAAGATTTTCGAAGCAAAGTTGGTGTGGTGTCTGGATCATTTGTTTGAAGAAGATGGCAAAGAATAGTAGGGGGAATATTAGACTATTTTGTATTCTGGTAGTTTGTATTCGGGTATGTGCACGTTATACGGTTGAGTTAGTTGCTAGGTTGTTAGCTAGGTTGTTAGGTTAACAGACTACACAACTATATAAAATAGTGTAGTGGTTCTTGTGCAAAATATGAAAACCATTTCTGCAGTATTCTTTGATATTCACTGTTACTATAATTTCTTAAGATTTCCACATTAGAGGTGGAATTGAAAAATGAATTAGAGAACATATTAGACTAGGAAGAAATCCATTGGATGCAAAAATGAAGATGAAATTGGATAGCTCATGGAGACTACATCATTTGGCTGTAAATTACTTCAAAAGCTTGTTCATCGGTAATGTAGAAGTTGGATACTCATATACAATCCAAGGCAATCTCCCTCAAATCTAATAACACATTTATAATGACTTAGAGAGCTAGGTATTAGAAGATGAAATTTGACAAGCCATATTTGAAATGAACCCCTCTAAGGTTCCGGGATGCAATGGATTCCATACAATTTTCTTAAAAAAAAAAAAAAAATAGGTCGATCGTAGGTTCTGCGGTGTGCCAGTTTGTCTGAAACTGTTTCAAAACTAAGACCATTGGAGAATATGTAAATAATACTATACTGGTACTTAATTCGAAAATGGAAGTACCAGAAAGCAGCACTCAATTTCGACCGATAAGCATTTTTAATGTACTCTACAAAGCAGTGACAAAGGTGGTGGTCAATCGATTAAAATCGTTACTACCAAAGTTGATATTTGAAAGCCAAACGAGCTTTGTTCTAGGGTGGAGTATCACGGATTATATTGTGGCAGCTCAAGATGTGATCCATTCAATGAAAAGGAAAGAACTAAAAATAGGGTGGATTTACATTAAAATTGATTTGGAAAAAGCGTAAGATAAATTAGAATGGTCTGATGATACCCTTTTAGACGTAGAATGTCCAGATGGACTGCGACAATTGATCATGAGTTGTGTTTCAACAGTGTCTACTCAGGTCTTATAGAGTGGAACACAATTGGAAGCCTTTAAGCCCACCAGGGAATACGCCAAGGGGATCCCCTCTCGTCATACTTATTCATTTTATGCATGAAATGATTGGCACAAGCTATAGAAAAAGAAATAGATGAAGGAGAAAGGAAACAAATTAGACTATCCTGGGGGACAAAACTATCCCACCTGTTTTTTTGCAGACGACCTAGTTTTGTTTGCATAAGCCTCATTAAACCAAATGGATGTTATTCCTTAGAACTTTTGTGACAGCTTGAGACATAAGATTAGTTTATCTAAAATAAACACCTTTTTCTCGACAAATGTCGATGAAAGTTTACGCATGGAAATAAGTGGGGGATTCCAATTCACGGTAGTTGAAAATCTGGGGAAATAACTTGAAGTGCCAATACTACATAAACGAGTGACGCGAGTGACATATGACTAATTAATCCAAAAGGTTTGAGATCGTTTTTTCGTGCGGAAATCAAAATCTTTTTCCTTGGTAGGAAGGATCACACTAGCCAAATATGTTCTATCAACTTTGCCATACTAAGAAATGTAAACATGTAAAATTTCAAAAGGTGTGTGCGAAGAATTTGAAAAATTAATGTGAAATTTTATTTAGGGGCATAGGATAACAACAAGGTGGTCAATCTTGTCAAATAAGATGACAATTGTTTGCCAACGGACCAAGGAGATTTAGGTATACGACACTTGTACAAACAAAATGAGGCATTCATAATGAAGTTAGCCTATCGTTTGATATCGTGCCCGAATCAACCGTGGGCACGAGTTTTAAGGGAGAAGTATATGCTGGCACCCTTACCAGAATCAATCATGCGACGTAGAAGCTCAAATATGTGAAAAAAGGTCTCGCGTAAATTCTGGGCGATGGAGTAGAGACTGATTTCTTGAATAACACTTGGTTGAGAGAAGTAGGCCTGCTAGAAGTCATACGAGCTAAAATTACACTGTCGAGATGCTGGAATTTGTTAACAAAATGCCCCTACCGAATAGACGTCAAATGCATGCTCTTATTGATCTTACTCTAACCCGTCCTAACAACTTCAAGAAGATAAGCTACAACACTCACCTTGGCCTAGGATTTTTTTTCATCATATGGGGATCATGGCTGTCCAGGTACAGAATCAACAAAAAATTCTTCCACTATATCCTCTTGCTCCGAAGAATCAAGCAACATTTCTGAATCAAAAGGAAGAAAAGGAGAACCAGGGTAGTTTCCAAGGGATCCTAAATCTCCCAAGTTTGACAAATCTACTGTCAGATCTGTGAGACTGAAATTCCACTCAATCTGATCGAGTGATCTAAGGGAATCTCTAGAATTCCCAGCTCCATTATCAGGTCCTAGCTGCAATCCTATTGAACTTGTCACATCTGTTGTGAAGGCTGAATCAAGTGTTGATGTGTCTACTCCCATCCCTGGCATGTCTGATGCAAAATTCCCACTGGACGCCACTGAAGTCGGGCTCACAGGCATCTCATAGGTATTCTCAACAGAAGAGCTACTCTTGGCAGTCTTAATGGAGCCGACGGACTCCATGCAACGGAAGAAAAAACAAAAACAAAGTCAGGACCGTTTGGCGAATGACACCATGTTGAGAAATTCAATGAATAACTTTGGTAAATTTCATTCAGATACTCAAACTGCATTACAACCAGCTTATATATAGAAGTTGTGCCTTCAAGCTTACTCTACCTCTATAACAAATTCATAACAGATTCCAACATTCCTTAACAGATTCCAACATTCCTTAACAGCCATAACAACTCACACACACACACACAATGCCCATATTAGGAGCACATGCACACATTGCATATTCTAGAATACAATCGTGTATTCTAGATACCATGTGAGAAAGGTGCCATTATATCAAAACAATTACTGTATTTTCATTCACAAACTAGTGAAGAATTACATGGTTTATATAGAACTTGGTTGCTGAACCAAGAAGCAAACTACCTAACAGACTTTGATAAATATAACCATGTAACAACAGCCTAACAACCTATGGTTATGATTGTCTGCAACCCAGCATACACCATGAACTATGAGCTTAACTACAAGCTTCTTGAATCTTCTCCATGCACACCATGCAGCATACCCTGGAGCTCGAGCAATGTTAGAGCATGATCATTGATGTTCACTAACTCATTATGCTAACATCAAGTGAGAACCATGCTAAGCCTAGCCGCCATCAAACCTCCACATAAGAAGGTGGAAAAGACTCCTTGGGGTGGCGATCGGAAGATAATAGAAAGTTTTAAGTCAATAGCACTTACAGACAACAAATTATGACTGAAGGAGAAAACATGATAAACAAAAATTATTGGAAAATGTTATCGAGCTATAGAGGACTGCCTCGTATCTGAACACTCTTCTGGCTAGTCAGCCAATATTGATTGATGACAATCGTGGAAGGCATGCGATGACATATTATGAAGAAGATCGATCCAGAGTTTGTAAAGTTAGGAAGCATCATAAAAAGCATCCGCCAATACCAACAAGAAGCTATGAACGCGTTGCAAATGCATAAGATAAATGGATCGTAAAGAACAAAGATCGACAGACGCATGACAAGGTGGTCACCACCACTGAGGAGGTGGCATAAACTAAATACAGATGGAGCTTGAAACCCTTCAACGGATTGACAGTGTGTGCCGGTATAATCCGAGATGAGAATGGCCAGTGTCCAAGGGTTCGTAAAGGCCATTGGATGTTTCTCTATCATAGATTCAGAGAGCATTGAGGTGTCTGTGAGGGGATACGACTGGCGAAAAATATGAATATTCAACATCTTTGCGTCAAAATCGACAACAAGGAGGTTTGGAATTTACTCAAACAGGGAGTGAACATGGATCGAATATACTTCGTAGTACCCCATATCATTGACGTAGTCAAGAGAGACTGGGATTTACAATTCAACTATGTACCTCTAGAAGGGAACAAGGCAACTGATGCAATGACAAAGATGGCATGAGAGGGACCTTTCGGTGTTCATATATATCACGAACCTCCTGCGAACGTGAGTATGCTGGTTGAAAGCAAACGTCAAATGATGGGAGAAGAAAGGACTTGGACAAATGACTAAGATACTGGAAGGGGCAATGGGATGCAGGAAGAACAACCGGCTCATGAAATGGCCGAAGGATTGCTTAGTTAGTAGATAGATTATTTCTTTCCAATTCAAAAAAAAAAAGTCTATATTGATATCGTTGTTGGAGGGGATTTTAGGGGTAGTGAAGGCATAGGGGCTTGGAATTTGGCGGGGAATCATGTTTCGTCTTCCATCCATTCTCAAAATTCAAGTATTTAAATTTTAAATTGATAATAAAAAAATATGTTCGGCCAGTCACATCTTTCATATGAATAAACATTTGTTGATTGGATTGTCAAAGATTTTTTCTATCAACGGTACTTTTAAAATGTATGGTTAGTTAATAGTGCACTCCTTTATTCTACGTGATAAAAATAACTGTTATTTTCATAAATAAATTTTTAGAGATATTATATTAATAGAAAATTTAAAAATTAATATATTCGTAAAGTGAAAGTAAATACACTGAATAAATAAATAAATGTAGTAATAAAAGAGACTTAGTCCATTAAGGAAATATTTCTACTAAGGAAAGTTCGAAACGACCAGATTAATGAAAGAGAGTGGGAAACCAAAAACAAAGAGAGGATGAACGAGAACTAAGAAGAAGAAAAAATCTCAAGAAACTATCGCCTGACGGTAAAAGAGCCAAGTTTGTACTATGTTTCAAGGAATCCAGATAAAAAAATGGAGAATGATTATTACATTCCAAAATAATGCTAAATTGGAGGGGGGAAGACACAACCGAGGCTGTCCCAGTGGAAGAGTCCGATAACGCAGACTCTCTCCAATTGGTTAACGGCCAACTATGACACCTGCTTACTACCATACTTGTCTCTTGTTCCTTTGTAATTATGACCCCAATCCTTCATTGGAAAGTTCGCTTAAATATCTCCAAAAACATGCATTTCTCTCCTGTTTTTCACTCTTATCATTAAACACCATATAACCACTTCTCTCGCATTGCACCAAAATTAAAGTTCCAGATAAGTATCCAGTGAAAAGAAAAAGAGAAACCAAAACCTAGAGGGCTCTGTGGATGTTTATAGAATCGTGTCTGTTTGCTATAAGGATTTCACTTCCTGTTTCCATCGTCGCTTTCGGTACAAACCCTTTTCTTCGATCTTCCTTTTTGTCAATTCATTTGGTTTTAAAGCTTTTTTCGCATTTATACGTGTGTTTATTTATTTATTTATTTATTTATTTTTGTATGTTCATGAATGAAATTTGATTTTGTGGTATCAATGGCTTTTGTTGCTTCAGTTCTTTTTCTTTTCCTAAAGAGTAGTGAGACATACACTCGGAGAGCCTTGGTTTTGTATATGATTCAGAACTTTCAGATTGTGTTTTGCTTTCAATCTTATTTGTTTTTAGTCTGCCTTCATTCATCGTTATTTTTAATTTGGGTTAATGAAATCACTCACCAGCAAATTGATTGTTTTTAATCAAAAAGAAAATGAGGGTTAAATATGAGTATCTCATGGGTTTTTTTATCAGCCAGATGTCACACATATGACATGGGGAATAATGCATGTTGATCTTTGTTTTCATACTTGAGTTTTGCTCCCAAGAAATCTATGAAATCATTTTTTTAAATGTTTTCTCAATCGTTTACATCTAAGGTGAGATCTTTGTCAATCATTGCTTGTCCTTCTTGGTTGACTATTTCGGTAAAGATTAAGTTTCTTTCATATTTTCTCTTTTAATCATATCCTTGTTGTCTGTGATTCAGGTTGGCTAGATCATCAGGACCAGATTTTGAGTACATTCTTTCGATTTTCCTTCATTAATCTAATACTTGATTTTTTTCCATTTTATTTACCTATCCCTAGATCAACAATAAATCAACTTAATTTCTCGATATTTTAATGGGATTTGAAACAACTACGGCAGTAGGCCCTTCTCTGGTTTTTTATGTTTTACTCCATATTTCATGTGTGAAGTCTTTGAAATTTATGATACAAACTTCCCTAATATCATACAGGTGCAACGTGTTTTCTCAATTATTTATTTTATACATTTTATATAGATATCTTATGCTAATTGGCATCTTCTTTTAAGTTATGAATTTCTGCATAAATGTGTCTTGAAGAGTTTGATATGTGCTTGTAATTTTATAGACTGCTTGCATAATCTCTAAGGCTAACAAGATAGTCAAGATTGCAGTGAGTTAGCCACACTAACTTCGCCTGTAATTATTCCTCTTGCAAATTGACTATCATATTTTCTAAGTCTGGAGTTTCAGCTGAAGAGTTAAATGCTCTATCTATGTTTAGTTTATAGGATTCTTGGAGACATTTTTTGTTTAGACTTACATAACTTAGTATAGGGTTAAGTACTTCATCCATGTTTATCCTGCTAGTGCTAGGTTTAGCTGTGTGTGTATTTCTTGGGGGGATATGTTCTTCTTCCGAACTGAACCTGAAGAATACTAATATGATCTATGATGGACTGAGGCACCACGTCCAGGTGCATGCACATTTGCATTGGAACTGAAATATATCATTTAATTGCTAATTCATGCTAGGAAGAGATAAAAGATATATGATAAATACACCATCTTTGGGGAAGAAATGAAACCACTTATATTATGCTGTCATTCACTTGCATATAATATTTCGTTTCAACAACAATTTATATAGGGTTTTAATTTATTTTTATGACTACTTCATTCGTCAATTTTATATACATTCATCAAACACAAATACATAAAAGCAAATAGACTAAAATATTCGAAAATTTCAAATTACAGTATCCAACACTACTTAGTTTTGAAACTTTTTTATCATGTCAGTTTTTTTACATGCTTTTCTAAACTGTTTAGCATTCAAAGATTTTATAAAAATATCTCTCACTTCATCTTAAATTTTCACAAACTTAAAATCTCTTTTTTATTGACAATATGCTCTATAAGTTTAAGGTTCATCAAAGGACACTTTGGTTCTTTTATTCTTCTACAGCTGTAATATTTGAACTCAATTATAGAAAATATTAGAGTTTCGGGAGTACACTCTTTAGTGTTAGAAATAGTTTCAAGTTCAAAGTCTAAGTAGAGACTTCATAGAAAGATATTAATTTTCATGGTGTTCTTTTAGAAGATAAAAGAATAAAATGGAAATATTCTATTGGTGGTCAATTTTTCTAACAATCAAATTAAGCTCTAATACTAATTTGTTAGGGGGGATAAAATCTTAGTTTACAAAAGTGTACCTAAGCTCGCCTAAGGCTAAGGCGCCATACGAAGGTGGGTGCAAAGCAAAATGTCTATGGAAAGGTAGGCTCAGCACAAAACGGGAAGCCCTCCCAAGCACGCACTTTGGAGGTTTTTCTGCATAGGCACCAAGCGTACGCTTATTTCGCCTTAGGAATAAGGGATAAAAACATTTCTTACCTACTGAAGATCATCAAGAGTTTATACGAGAAAGAAATCCAGAGACACAAAGTAAAAGGAGAAGATACAGTGGAAGAAGAAGAAATGAGATATAAACAAAATAAACATATAGATTTATTAAATAATGGTGATGTGTGAATACACGATCCACATTAATGTCAGTAGTTAAGGCGTTGATCCAGATGAGGAGACTACACATATTTCCTTATTGTTTAATGCATGAATTCATCAATGATGAATAAATACACGAGCTACGTTAATGGCAGCAGTTAAGGAGTTGATCCAGGCGCAGAAACTCCACACATTTCCTTGTTGTATAATGCATGAATTCAACTCTATATCATTAATAGACAAAAAGAGGAGGTCGATTTTTGTAAAATTAAGCAAAACTAGTTTTATATAGACTTGATTAGGCAAGTCAACACTATTGATTTGGCCCAACAAGAAAAATCAGGGCTGCAACAACCTCGTAACAAATTAACCCGCGGGACAAGCAATGAGTCTTGTTAATGATAGAAATAGGTCTTGACTCTTGAGGAGATGACAAACAATGGTGAAGGAATAAAATATGAGGAAGAGAATAAATGCTTCATGAGTGACTCAGTAGGTAATGAGTGTGGATATAATCTAGAATTGACTTATAAACCTTTTAGTTAAAAAGTAAACCTCATCTATGAAAGACGTGCGCTTTCGTCACAAGTCTTGCGTCTAAGCTCCAAGGACCCTTACGTCTCAGTGCCCATTGTTCCTTTTAAAACTAAGGATAAGAGAAACAATCTAATGGGAAAGAAACAACCTCGAAAGGAGAAATAAACTTATATATAATGATACATCACATACAACATTTTATATAAATGTTGTAAGTGACTATTAGTGTGGTCATGTATGCTAGTTAAGTATATTCACACATGACTACTACATTCATTAAACTCAAACACATAATAATAAATTAATTAAAAATATTTTTAAAAATTTAAGTTACATTATCCAACAATTTCTTCCTTAAAAGAACTATCAAATCTTGTTATTTATGTCTTTGTCATGAGAAAATATATAAGTAATAATTATTGTTGTTTCGTTTTGAATGTCCAAAAATTGAGAATGACTAAAGAATCTAGGCTAGAGCAGGAAACTATTAGTTAGTTTGATTTGAATTAGGTAAGGAATTTAAATTGTGGATGTGATAGCGTTTTCGGTTGCATTGAGTTTATCACGATTGTGGACATAACAGGGGTTATTACAGTGATTACGGGTATTGTGATCATATAATAGTGGTATTCGGATGGCACCGCTACCGCTATATAGTGGGCGCTATTGCGGCTGCGAATCGTTATTTAAATCCCTAATTAGGTTAATTTGAAAGTTTGCGGTGATTTAGGTATTGCGGTCATATAATAATGGTACCGGACAGTACCACTACCGTTATATACCGAAAGCTATTGCAGTCGCAGACTGTTATTTAAATCCTTAATTAGGTTAAATGGATAGGTTTCACGAGACGGTGAACAAAGTAGGAAAGAAAATAGGAAAAACAAGAAGCTAATGCAACAAATAGCTGCTTTGTTTTGCACATTAATCTCATTTATCCAGATATCATGCATAGCTTATATTGTCACGTTCCACTTATACTCAAACAGGTTATTACTCAATTTCTAAGAGTTTTTTTTTGGGATTATTTGTTTGCAGGAAGTTGAGGCAAGAATGAGACGTCAAGGTCAAGGCAACAGCTCCAATCCTTATCAAACCGGAGACTTTTACTCTAATGGTGATGTTGGATCTGATCAACATGATGTGGTTCCTGATGGGCATACTTCCATTGGTCAAACCAGTTCTGATGTCGATACCCAAAACCATGTGGGGTTTGCTCAATTCTTGGGTGATGACTTTTGGCTTTCGCCTCTCGGTGATCAGACTGTCACGACTCAAACTTCTGAGCCAAGCTTTAACCCTCTTCTGCAAACTAATAGCAGGATCGCCGGAAATGGCCCGATCGAACCGTCGTTAGGGGCCGATTCTGATCCTCTCCAACATAGCTTTGACCTGAATGATGTGGTACATCCTGAAAGAAGCGGTCTTCATGCAAGTCAGGGAAATGGACCATACTTAGGAGCAGGTAGTGATAACATTCAAACCTCTGGTGGGTCATCAAGTCCAGTTATGATTTATTCAGGAGTAGCTGGATATGTTATTGAAGAAAATATAAGCCCAGATGGTCTTCCGGTTGATGGTGAAAGAAGGCTTATATGCAAAAGAAAGGCGCCTGAATTGGCTTCAAGCTCTGAACCTCAAGCTCAAAATTCTCAACAGCCAATGACTATTCCCCAAAACAATGTCAGCATCAACAGCTTAACTGCAGCTAATAATGATCATTCAAGACTTGGGGATGCTTTGCCTACATATCAATTTCCATGTGAGGCTAGGCAAGTAGATAACTTTCAAAGCAATACCCGTCTGAGAACTGCAAATCAATCGGTTGCAGCATCAACAAACTTGTGGACATGGAACTCGAGCAACTCTAATGTACAACCAACTGGCCAGCACACCTTTACCCTTACAAGCTCAGCACCGGCGCCAATGCAAGTGAATTCAGCCGTGCTGCCAGTGGAGCGAGTTTTTAACTCGTCGCAAGCTCTGCAACAATATTGGAACGGGACAAACCTTTCATGGGTTGGTCCTTCTTCCGTCCATCTTGATCAGGCCGTAAACGTGTCAGCAAACCTGAACTTTGTCAATGTGAATGCAAACGCCTCCTCTTCGAGAATCCAATCTGGTTCAAGCAGGCATCTACCGAATTCATCCATAAGGTCACCCATTCCAAATATGGCCGCACAATACGGACAAAGAGGGCTAGATATTGTCAATCCATCTGAGTCCTGGAGGCGAGGGAGTTTCTGTCCAATACTTCCTGGTGCTTCCCTTGATGCCAGGCCTGCCCAGGTTCCTCTGAGGTTAGGACCAAGACCCGAGAGACAAGCTGGTCGTCATTCTGGAGTCACATCTACATCACTATATCAAAGGAGAAGACTGATATCTGAGGTACTGTTCCATAGACTACAATCCCCATAGCTATAGCTCCTAGTATATCAATTTCTACAATACGATGCTTATGTGTCGTGCTTAAGTAGATTATCTCTTATTACTGGCTGCTACTAAATTACCCTTCCTTTCCCATAACAGTTCCGCAATGCCTTCAGACTAGTACCTATGCCTGCTGGCTTACGACAAGAGGTAAGACTAAAGCTTTACTTGTTTATTAACATCAATGTTTGAATATGAAGGAAATCAATGCTATTATTATCAATGTTCAACACTGGTTTTGCACCAACATGGAATATATGGCAGGATGTAATGGTATTCGAAGGTTCATATTTGTATGGCATACCAGAGGTGCCTGATATGCTTGAGGATATGCGCTTTGATGTCGATAACATGTCTTATGAGGTAACATTTAAATATTTTGAGTCCAATGGACATTACTCATGGTTTTAAAAGCTCGTGTCGTTTATTTTGTAGGAACTGCTGGAGCTGGAGGAGCAAATTGGAAATGTTTGCACTGGTCTAAGCGAGGAAACTATTCTAGCCAATCTCACAAGACGAAACTATCAGTCCGGACCACCAGGAGAAATTGAACCTTGCTGTATCTGTCAGGTATATTTCTTATTACTCCTGAATAATAATGGCCTATGCACAGATGAATTGAAATTAACTTCCATTTCATGTGCTTGGAAACCGTCCACAGGAGGATTATGCTGAGGGCGAAGAGCTTTGTAAGCTGGGCTGTGGTCATGAATTTCACTTCAATTGCATTAAGCAATGGCTTATGCAGAAGAATTCATGCCCCATTTGCAAAAATACAGCTTTGGCTGTTTGATTGTCTCCTTTTAATCCCTGAAAAACAATGTGTTGCTGAATTTTTGGACCTGCTTCTCACCTCAGAACTTTCATACACATTTGTCATTTGCTTTTCCTTTCGTTTCTGAGATTCTCATTGGATGCCACAGAAAACAGCAATTCAGTAGAATCCCTATGCTTTGTCTATTAATGTTATGAGAAGCTGAAGGTTTTTAGACTTGACCAAAACAAACTATGAAGATTATGGATTTCATTAGTTTCTTTATATTTTTTGATGGTGGCTCGCAGGTTCAGATTCAACTCTTAATTCCCGACCACATATTCTATATCATCAACGATGATCAATCATCATTGGATGATATAAAACGTAGGTCTGGACTCTGGACAATGAATCATTCTACTTAGGATTAGGAAGACAGTGGTCTTTTTGGAGTATGAGTATCTGCCCTAGCTCTTCCCTAGTACAAGTGTTTACCCTAACCTTAGGCTGAAATTAGAGATTTTCTAACCTTATGACTAGCTGCTGCTTCTTTTTTGACAAGTATAACTAGTTGTTTCTTTTTCGTTACATTCCGTTGTTTTAATAGAAAATATCTAAAATTATTTTTGTAAAGGGGTTATATTTTTAAAATAACTATAGTGTTTAGATGATATTAGGTAAATAATTATTTATCATTTGATAAAACTTATAAAGATGACATTGTATATTATCTACCATTAGATATATTCTTCTGAAATTATTCATTGTAAATTTTAAATAAAACAAATAATATTACTTGATATGCTAATTAAATTATTGTAATATTTTAAAAGTAATAATATTAACTTATTTAAATCCGAAAGCTAGTTTGATATTACTTTTAAAAAATACGGTAAAAATATTTTTTAAAGTATTTTTCAAAAGTGTAGTCTAAAATTAACCATTTGAAATTGTTATTAAAAAGATTTTGAAAAGTATTAAAAAAAGTATTTTTGAAAAGTGCAGTTTAAAACTTTCTATTTGGAATTGCTATTAAAAAATGATTTTGAAAAGATTAAATGTTCATTTTAGATATTATATTCTAAATTCAAAAATATAATATTTGAATTATATTTACAGTTATTAATACTATGATACTTAAAATATATAAACTTAAACTATAATAAAAAAATATAAAAACATTTTTTATAATATTTTTATTTGAAAAACATTTTATGATAACTCATTAATAATATAAAATAATTGTATGCTCAACATAAATACTATGAAAAATACATTATTTTATATTCAATTAACATAAAAAAATTAAGGTTCTATCAATTTATATCTAATAATTAATTTGATCATTAATTAAAAATAATTAATAAATAATTATAAATGAATGTGTATTAATTTAAAAATTGATTAAAATTAAATAACAAATGATAAAATATAATTTAGTCAAAAAATTGATTTTTCAATAGCAAAAGTTAGAAATTTAAGCTTTTTGAGGTTAGATTTTAAATTAATTTTTGGGTGTTCAGCATTGTTTATGGGGTGAAAAATATAACATCGTAATCCAATCTAACCCAATATACAAATGGTTAGAATATTACACGGAACCATCGAGGTGGTTAACCATATTTTTCCTTTTAAAATCAATTAACATTGTGAACCATCCATCAAATAAAATCATAACGTAACCATAGGTTTAAAACATACAATTGTATCGTTTACAAAATAGGAGCTCCAAGTAGTATATCTTAAAATACAAGAGTTATAGAAATAGAGTTTTCAACTCGAAATACACCAAGGTTCTATGAAAGGACATGACCACTAAATACTCGAGACGTATTTTGATACTCGATCAAGTTTGGAATTTACGATATGACGATTAGCTCCTCGAACCACCATCTACGAACTTGCGCATAGAAACACATTTACATTGAGCTTACAAGCTTAGTGCCACACTAATAACACTATTATACTACATACATTCAACAAATGAGTATGCTACAAGTATAATCATGAACAAGAAGGTGTGTTAGGCACACAACACGAGTAAGCATCATGATATAGTTCGGGATCACATCAGCATCATGGAACTCACTCCCCTATTTCTTAACAAAAATTACCCTAGGTAATAACTAGCTCACATATCATCAGCTTCTTAAACTCTCCTGGCACACATTGCCAAGTACCATAGGCGATGCCCTAGGTCACATAGCATTACCACCTTGTTGGCTAGTCTACTCCTCTTGAGTACGTGGGACGTGTTTGGGTTAATGAGTATCAAAATAACGTCCAACTAGTTTATTAAATTCCCTTACACTTGATGTGGATATATATGAATAATTCTTACACAACTTGACGATCGTCATACACAAGTAACTTGGGTTGCCTCATCGTTTCCCAAGATTCAAACAAGGCACAAGTCTTAAAGAATCTTACCTTATAATGATATTATGTTATTACAAAATTATCAGTTTTCTCACTTGCAAGCTTTTATTAAGAGGTTCTCATGGATCCTATCCCCTTCCTAGGTCCCTTGATCAAACCAAGGCTTATGTCCTTCATTTTCACGATGGTATTGATACTCAGCCTTATGATTTTTGTATTACTTTCTATTATGGTATCGATACTGCCTAGAGTATTAGGACCAAATTGGCACACTAGAATTTGAGACAACCCTCAATATCGATACCCCTAATTATAGTATCGATATTATCCTCTTGTGGTATCGGTATTATCCTCTTGTATCGATACCCAAATTACATTCAATGTTTGTAAAAATACCCTAGTATCGATACGCCTTCCTAGAGTATCAGTACTACCCTCTTGTTGTATCGATACTCATTCACTATAGGTACCAATTTTGACTATTGGAATTTGAAATTATCTATTGGTATTGATATTGAGCCTAGAGTATCGATACCCTATTAACAATATCGATACCCCAAGAATAAGGTACCGATCGTACCTTACCAAAACATTTGATTTTTAACCAATCAGTTGGGCAATATTAGTACTATTCATATAATATCAATACCCTAAACTTATAATTCCATATTTCTCACAAGTACAACACATCAAATACCCATATTCCTTCCATGGACCCAAATGTACCCATCATGCTTCATGAACACATACAAGCAACCAAACTACGCATGTTGATCTACAATATTATTAAAGAGTTAGGGTGTATTACCTTGCTACTAGTTATAGGAGAATCAACCCCAAGTTCATCCAAGCACTAGTTTTTCCTTTCCTTTTTCTTTTGGAGCCTTTTCCCATTTATGTCACTACCAAAAGCAAAAGAATAGTTGGTTACTCAACTAAGAACTTAAGAAGGAGTTAAGAAGGCTTATTAAGAACCAAATCTAACCCCAAATAAATCGATAATTTTCAAAAACTTACCCTTTTTTCCAAATAAGTTTTTAATTTAGGACTTTAAACAATCAAACACGATCAATAAAGTTTCATTGAGCAAATCTCTTTCTATGTAAAAATCAATTGTAGAATATTTCTCAAATAGAGTAAAAAATTTAAAGAAAATCGATTGTTAAGTGTAAAAAAGAAGAAAATCATTGATACAGAGAAAAAGAGGAAGACACAGTTTGTGGGGATAAATGGGAAGTAAATCGATTCAATGTGTAACACCTTATACGACCATGTATGATGACCCAGATATTCTAAGTGCACATTAGATTCTAATCAAGTCAGACATATCAAAAAACCTAATCATGCATACCAAGTAGAAGAAATTAAAAATAAACATCCATCATGCAATACAAAACAACTATATATAACATAATCATGCTTACAACAATCATACAATCATGCATCGTAAGATAAATGCTATTAACTATGTTGGGGCAAAATAGTTATTTCACATGTAATTATAAAATTTATGTAAAACAAATTTAAACTTATCAATATGAATTATTAACCTTTAATTATCCACATGCAAAATTTTAGCTTAATCGGACATTGTTTAGGGACCTAATTTACATGTTTAGTTTAAGGACTAAAACATAAACTTTTCAAAATATGTAAATAAATCAAAAACATAAAATTGAAGGTTTCACTATGAAATTAGTGTTATTATAGAGTAATAAAACAAGTTTCAACCAAATCTGACTTAAAACCAAGCTTTGATTGGAAAAACAAGTTTCTAGACCGAATTGAATACATTTTAAAGTTTAGGGACACCTAAGAACTTAGGGAACACTTTAGGTCCTTAATGAGTTTAATTTTACCTATTTTTATCGAGAAAACAACAAAGGGAATGATCCTTTTTCAAAGTGGATCGATGCTTTGTAAAATAATCGTCAAATATTCAAAATGGATAGATCTCTTTTCCAAGGGATGTATCCTTTTTCAAAAGGAATCGATCATTTTTCTAGAAAATATAGAAAATTCATACGAACATGCAATAACAAGCTACCAAACTTTCATGTAACCAATCCTATGGTCTATGAACATACTGGACACACTTAAACACTTAGAACATGTCATAATACATACGTAGCAACCTTCATAACATTGTTTAATGTAACATACAAAGATTTTGCATTCAAAGTCAAGAATTGGATAAAAAGTCAACTTAATCACAAGTCACCTAACCATTTTAAATATTATTGTTCATTTCATGCATCCTAAAGGCTTAATATATTACGCTCACTTATTGGCACTTGTCTAAATGATCAATACACTTATTGAAGGCATATACATCATTTGGTCACTTAAGGTGTAACACCTAATCTAGTTTGACTCGAAGATCTATGAATTACAATGTCACACAAGACTACCAAAATAGTGACCCAAAATTTTCATTAAAAAATATTTTCAATTAACTAAAATAGTTCATCCTTAATATTAAAAGAAATCATTGTAAATATACGAGTTTACAAAATATTGGGGAGCTCCCAAAATATATCCAAAATAAATACAATATCATTACAAATCAAAGTTACGACTAAATATACAAAGGGTCTATAAATAGTACATTCCCTCTAAAGAAGACTCAAGACGTACTATGATATTCACTGCTGGTCTAG